GAGAGAGAGAGAGAGAGAGAGAGAGAGAGAGAGAGAGAGAGAGAGAGAGAGAGGGTCTGAACACCAAATAAATGGCAGCAAAATTGAAGAAACGATTTCGATTTATTGCATGGATTTCAATCCACGCCTTTTTGTTTCCGCGTCGCTCTTGCATTTCCCGGGGCTCAGGCTCATAAGCTCCAAGTTAAAGGGAGAGGAAATGTTCCTTACTCACCTAGACCCCCTTGGAAACTATGATAGAAATAATAATGGCGGTATTCTCTTGGAGCAGCATTTCTATATTAAGGGAGTGTCACCGTGGTTTTGCTGCAGGGCTTGGAGGACCAAAACGCATGCAGAATCTGTCCTCTTGGTCTGAGGCCCTCTTTTCAGCTCTGGTTCTACTGGGTCCCCTGACTCCTGAGGCACCCCTTCTTCCTTGCCCTTCCATACTGTAGGTAGCCTTCAGGGCTGCCAGGAAACTTTCTCCTTACCCGGTTGCAAGCTTCTTCTAGCCCCCATCTCACCCAGTTTCCTTGAAGTTTTAAAGTAGGAATGGTGGGATTTTTAAACCGAGTTTAGAAGTCTACAGAAACTCGGAGGGTCAGGTCATTAGGAATGTTAACGGACGACCAAGAATTATAAACATGATCTGAAAGTCTCTTCCAATTCATTTCTTCAAGTATTTATTTGTGCTAAGTGATGAAAGGTGACAGTTGTGAAATGGACAGCTTTTAAAAATAATGAAGTCAGATGAGCCTTTAACCTGTCGATTGCTATAAATCAACTTTGAAAAAGACAAATGGGGAATGTTATTTGGGTACCTAACCCCCAGCATTTGCTGTGCCGCAAATTGGCCTGTCAGCAACCCGGATCAGTGAGGCTTTCGTCTGGAGAATGGCAATGGAGTGTGTGTGTGTGTGTGTGTGTGTGTGTGTGTGTGTCCAAGCACCACAAAGATCCAAAGGGGGACGTGTTGGTCAGCTTGTGTCCCCACTTGTATGTGCATACCAGTGGTCTATTGGGCTGTAATGTGTCCAGGCCTGGCAGATGACAGGCCTTAGGACAGTGGGTAATTCAGAGAGGCCAACACTCAAGGGACAGAATGTCACATTATAACGGAGAGCTCCCATCCAGCTCCACTGTCTGTCATGGTTTGGAAGACTGCCTTTAGAAATGGTGGTTGTGGGTTTTTGTTTGTTTTTCTTTTTATTTGTTTTTTTGTTTTGTTTTGTTTTTCTGCTCTCTCTATATCTCTTTCCTATCTATCTGTCTATCTATCTATCTATCTATCTATCTATCTATCTATCTATCTATCATTTATTATCTCTATCTCTCTGTAAGTGCGTGCGTGTGTGTGTGTGTGTGTGTGTGTGTGTGTGTGTGTGTGTAAAACTCAATTTTCTCGACCTCAGGAGGGACATAGTGTTCTCTTTGACACTGGCTGATCTTCACAAGAAAAGGGGGGGGGCGGTAAGGGCATACAGGTAGGAGATGACAGGTGTCTGCAGGTTTGAGGGGATCGGTGAAAGTTCCCGATTATGACTTCTAAAAAAGCCAAAATGATGTGGTGTTTCAACTTAAAGTTTACGTGAGCTCTTGGAGACATCAGTCCCCCACAACTTCCATATCAGCCACAGCAAGGCCTGGGGTGCTGGGTTGAGAGAGAAA